CAGGTCATATTTTCTGATGGGAAGAAGTTTAACCTGGATGATCCTGATGGGTTTGATACTTATTAGCATCATTTGAGGAAGGATCCTATGTTTTTTCAAAGACAGACTTTGGAGGTGGCTCCGTCATGATTTGGGGTACATTTTTTATACCCTGAACCCATTTTTAATGGGAAATCAGGGTATAATGGTTTTGTTGAAATGTATGTAACAGGCAGAAGGAGGCGTGGCAGACCCCACAAAGTATATATATTCTTGATCAGGGCGACGAGCTGAGTTGATTTGGCCCTGTCCGTCTGTCTGTCCGTCTGTCCGTCTGTCCGTATGTATGAACGCGTCGATTTCAGAAGATATAAGAGCTAGAGACTTCAAATTTTTTTTAAAATGTTCGTAATTACAGCGCGCATATCAAGTTTATCATTAAAAATCGATAACTCATCCCGATCTTTTTTTATCGATAAAAAACCTTATCGAAAACCAGTTATAAAATTATATCTTCTACACCTTTATTGCTAGAGTCTCCAAATTTTTAATGTATGCTTATATGCAATTTATACAATTTCGGTTTTTGTTAAAATTTACCCCCACCCTTAAATTCACCCCCTCACCCACACTTTTGTAAAAAGCGTATTTCAAATACTAGAGACTTGTGCTTTGGCAATTACATGCATATCCATGTCATAATCATAATCTGAAAGTTTCATGAAGATCGTACGTCCACAAAAAAGTTATTAAGCAATTAAGTTCTCATAGTAAGCGCTCACTGCCGCCCATGCGTGTTTATGCTTGTGTGTGTATATGTATGTAATTGTTTGTGTATGTGTGTGTGTGTGTGTGTGTGTGTGCGTGTTTCTTGTGTAAGCTGAAAGACGCGAAATATTATTGAAATAGCTATTACTCCAAGGGTTCAGGGGATCTCGTAGTCGAGTAGTCTCGACTAGAGCTTTCTTACTTGTTTCATTTGCTACCTGTGAATTGAAGTTTGTAACGAGCCGAATGAACAGTGAAGAGTATTTTCAGACTCTGGATAGTAGTCTCATTCCATATTTAAGGGAATTACGTGAGAAACCAATGGTTTTCCAACAGGATAATGCCAGAATCCATGTGTGCAGACGTACAAAGTAGTGTTTGGAGGAATTTCATGTTTATGTCCTTGACTGGCCAGCAGATCTCAACCCGATAGAAAATGTCTGGGATAATCTAAAAAGACGTGTATACTAACAAGAAGTGTATACCAAAAATCGCCAATTGGAGACAGTTGGATATCTTAAAACGCAAATTCTAAATGAATGACAAAGTTTCGAAAAGGACCTTTTATTAAATTTAGTGGTTTCAATGAGGAAGAGAATTTTTGAGTTAACTAAGGCAAATGGAGGCCAGACCAAGAATTGACATTAGTTTTTCCATCAAAACGCAACGAATTAGGATTTTTTTTTTACCAAAATATGACTACGGGCTATAATTTTGATACAGCAAATGGTGCTGTTTTTCTTTGTTTTTTATTTCTTTTTAAGAAATCGTTATTAAATCGTTAATTTTAAGTGAAAAAGTTTTTTGCCATTCATAGTTGAAATATTGAACTACTCATTTTTGAAGATTTTGAGGAAATATTCCATTTTGGAAAAATTCTCAGCCGATTCGTTTAAGTGGATTAAAAGTGGGCTATAATTATGATAGGCACTGTATAATAAAAATCAAAATTGTATAAATTATATATGTATGTAATTTGAATGCAGTAGCTATCGATGATTTTCCAATTTTAATGGCATCAGGACGTGTTTTTTGATGCGTACTAGACTTGAAAATTGCACTATATACTCTGATTGACAGCGTTTAGGCTGTGAATGAGTCTTCTGCAATCGGTATCGCCCGACTGCAACGTTCTTACTTGTTTTTATATCAAGTTTTAAGTTTTCTATATTTATATTTATTAAATTTATGATATAATATTAAACAGATTCCTATTTGAAACAATTGCTTTTATTAATTAATGACTTCGATAGGCAAGCTCACGATAATAGATACAAAACAAGTAAGAAGACTCTAGTCGAGACTTCTCGACTAGGAGATACCCTGAACCCTCTAATCTGATATTCTAAACACTCTGCACTTCTTTTCGGCACACATGCATACACATCCACGTATTAGAACGCGCTCTGCTAACTGCGCAGTAAGCAGCGACTGCGCTTGGGCTGCGCTGCAATGTGGGCAACATTATAAGGAGTTATTTGTTGAATATTTTAATTTCTAGACGTACAATCTAAATGAAACTTTCAGAACATAATCATAATATTCAAATGTGTGTACATTTCAAAGCACACGTCTCTAGTACTTGAAATACGCCTTTTACAAAGGTGAGGGTGAGAAGGTGGATATAAAGGTGGGGGGTAAATTCCAACAAAAATCGAAATTATATCAAATACATATAAGTCTACATTTAAAATTTGGAAGCTCTAGCTTTAAAGGTGTAGGAGATATAATTAAATAACTAGCTTTCTATAAGATTTTTAATCGATAATAAAATATCGGAAGTAGTTATCGATACATAGAGAAAAACTTGATATGCGCGTGATATACACGGACCTAGGAAAAAAATTTCAAGTCTCTAGCTCTTCTAAGATCGACGCGTTCATACATACGGACGGACGGACGGACAGACAGACGGACAGGGCCAAATCGACTCAGCTCGTCGCCCTGATCAAGAATATATATACTTTGTGGGGTCTGCCACGCCTCCTTCTGCCTGTTACATACTTTTAACAAAACCATTATGTCCTGATTTCCCATTTTCAATGGGTTCAGGGTATAATAATAGGTACTTAAGTATAAACGCGATTCTGCAATTCGAGCCCAAAATCGTTCACACCATTCTAAGTTGAGGTAGGTCAATGCTCATGTCCCATGCATACACACACATGTACATACACACACGCACATGTAAAGGCACATAGGCATACAAGTGCTTATATATCACTTGTATAATTGTGAGCATCGCAGCCCATGCGTACGCACAATCAAATGTATATACATACATATGTAATGTATGCAAATGCTGGGCTGTAAAATTGCTACAGGCTGCAAGAGCTTCGCACACAGGCATACAAATGCTCATAGTACATATAGCAAGGTAGAGTCTGCATGTGCATGTTCATCGCGAAAACATTTTCTTTATGCGCACCAACGCACAGTTGGACCTTTGCTCATTTGCGTTACAAAAATCATAACTTTGAACCAAGCAATATACATATTCAAAAATTTAAAAAGCATTCGACAGAGCATTCTTTAATCTTTAAAATGAATCTAAGCACAAGATGATGCGTTAAAAGGTGGCTTCACAGTTTTACCTTAAAGATGAAAATGTAATTTTATACCAAAAATTTATGAATTTTTATGATAAACTTAAATATTTGTTGTGGAAAATGATTTTATCTCAATTATTTACAGTATGTATGACTATTTAAACAAAAAAACAGTACAAAATAAAAAAAAAATTTTTTTTGTCAAAAAACCGAAACCCTTTGATTTGCCGTCGGCATTTCTACCTACTGCATGCAGCTGCATAAAAATTTTACCTCTTTTAGTACATTTTGTACGTTGTTATGCTGATTATGGGTTAGTTTCTTGCTATAGAAAACCAATCGGGCAGATTTCTGCAGCCAATTTTTTTATGAATATTGTAGAGGATACTTTTCTTAACACGTGTATATAAACCAAAGTTCGAAAATCGAAGAAAATCAAATACATTTAATCCACCGTAAAAAAAAGGCAAAATTTGGACGTTACCTAAAATGAATCTATCTCCTAAACTAATACACAGAATAACATCATTCTTCTTTTATTTTGATGGGAAACCAATCTTTCCAACGATACCAATAAATCAACAATTCGAACTTATATATGTGTATATATATGCTTGAGTTTGGTCACAAAGTGCAACATTTTTTACAAGATTTCGAGGTTTTGTTTCAGTTTGCAAATTTATCCAACTTTGATGAGTCATAACTACCCTTAAAATTCACCTGTTTTCAAAAATCAATTTGGAATCTGACCTTATGGTTAATTTCCAATCGAATGAGATCTAAAAATCCAAAAGCGGTGATTATGACTTTGCCACGCCCTTCCGGCAGAGGTCCAACTGTGCAACGCTTTCATAACGAAAACGCAAATGTTTTGTACGAGCTTGGCAAACGGTTTGAAGAGTTCGGTATACGCTACCGCTTGTGCTCATATTCATATATACATATACATATTTGACAGAGCAGAGAGCAGAGAGAGCGAGAGAGCAAGAACAAAAATTGAGCATAAACGCATCTTTTATTCAACATTTGGCCATCTCGACCGAGCGCATGAAGAGAGATGATTTTGTGTTCCCATATTTTCGTAGCCCGAACCTAAAAGTGAAGAGCCGAGCAAATACGAAGTGGTCTGGGAGATAACTCCCGAAATAAAGTGTGCAAAACGCTTTACACTACTTGTCCGGTCTATGTGTTCTGTTGTTTGTGATTATATCTCCTACACATTTGGAGCTAGAGTTTCCAAATTTTAAATGTAGACTTATTTTCTACAATTTCGATTTTTGTGAAAATTTACCCCCATCCCTAATTCACCCCCTCACCCTCACATTTGTAAAAGGCGTATTTCAAATACTAGAGACCTGTTGCGTTGGCAAATACATGTATATCTATGTTATAATCATAATCTGAAAGTTTCACGAAGATCGTATGTCCACAAAAAACAATTAATTTCTCATCGTAAGCGCACACTGCAGCCCAGGTGTGTGTAGGCGTGGGTGCTTGTGTGTGTGTGTGTGCGTGTCTCTTGTGTAAGTATAAAGACGCGAAAAATGAATGAAATAGCTATTGCTCGAAGGGTTCAGGGGATCTCGTAGTCGAGCAGTCTCGACTATAGCTTTCTTAATTGTTTTTGTTTTAAATCATATTTTCTTGCTTTATTTTTCGGCACATCATTTGAAACCCCTACGACTATTACAATATATCGAATAGACGATGATGAGTGCATCCAGTCGCCATGTGAGAAAGGATATAAATGCTCAAATTATCCAGGAGGATACGACTGTAATCTCATTAGCAGTGAAACATGTGGCACAGGCTTTCTTTTAAAAAATGGCAGCTGCATTGATATTGATGAGTGTGCTCAAAGTACGACCAATTCTTGCAGAAACGATTTGCACCAGGAATGCAAGAACACTGTGGGCAATTACCACTGCAACTGCCTGCCTGGTTATAGTTTGGATGTAACGCAGAACAAATGCGTTGGTTAGTATTTTTCGAGCTTATCCCTTAATATGAATCATATATGTAGCTGTCAAACGCTAAACACCATCCGTTCTTACACTTACTTCAGATATAAATGAATGCTCAATTAACAATCACAACTGCCTCCCAACTCAAAGATGCGATAACACGATCGGGTCATATATATGCACGGTACTTCAATTTGTTTTTCGTTTCCATTAAAACACCCAATTAAAAATACTTTTATAAAAATTTCATAGCGTTGGACATCTTGTGGCACGGGATATACATTGAATGCTGGTACTGGAAATTGTGATGGTAAGTAAAAATATTTACTAAGAATAAGGAAAAATGCAGTCTGATGCAATCAAATGCATATACTCATTGACAGTTAAAAGCTAGTTAAGCTTTTCGATATATATAGGTAACAACAGTTATCCATATCTAAAGTATATTGATACCCTGAACCCATTGAAAATGGGAAATTATGGTATGTAACTTGATTGTTTAATAACTTTTCTTGTCGATGGACTATCTCCATGAAATTTGGAGATTGGTTAAAATTCGTGCATCTGCCAAAGCGAAAGTCTCTAGTAACTAAAGTACGCATTGGTGAAGGAGTAGATTTAGAAGTGGGGGTAAATTTTAACAAAAATCAAAATTGTATAAAATGCATCTAAAATGCATTTCTCCAGAAAGGTCAACCGCAGCCAAAACTTTCAATGTCAATGAAAGCATGTTCTGCCAACATATTTTTTATAACTAATTCATCAAATTTAACTAATATATATCAATTTTACATTTTATCATGATACATCTCAAAATATTGAGACACAAAGCCGAATAAGCGCAAAAGTTCTGTTTTGAGAATTTCTATTGCACATTTTGTTCTTATTATTGAGACGCTATGCAATGAAATATGATGCTTCGAAATCTCTATTTTATTATAATTAATAAATTGTATATATTGAAAATAATTTCTAATGCTTTATTAATGTAAAATTACTAAAAAATGTAAAAAAAAAAAAAACAAGTAAAAAGACTCTAGTCGAGACTGCTCGACTAGGAGATACCCTGAACCCTCTAATCTGATATTCTAATCACTCTGCACTTCTTATCGGCACACATACATACATACGCACGTATTAGAACGCGCTTGGGCTGCGCTGCGGTGTGGGCAACATTATACGAATTTATTTGTTGAATAATTTAATTTCTAGACGTACAACATTAATAAAACTTTTAGAACATAATCATAATGTTCAAATATATGTACATTCCAAAGCACAAGTCTCTAGTACTTGAAATACGCCTTTTACAAAGGTGATGGTGAAGGGGTGGATATAGGGGTGGGGGGTAAATTACAACAAAAATCGAAATTATCATGATTATAACATATGCATGCATTTGCCAAAGCATATGTATGTAGTATTTGAAATACGCCTTTTACAAAGGTGAAGGTGAGGGGGTGAATTAGAGGTGAGGGATTAATTTTAACAAAAATCGAAATTGTATAAAATGTATATATATACATTCAAAATTTGGAGACTGTAGCTCTAAAGATGTAGGAGACATCATATTATAACTTATTTTCGATAATGTTTTTAATCGATAACAAAATAACGGGGCAAGTTATCGATATTTAAAGCAAAACTCGATATGCGCGTTCTATATACGGACCTAAGAAAACAAATTTAAAGTCTCTAGCTCTTATATCTTCGGAGATCGACGCGTTCAAACATACGGACAGACAGGCGGACGGACAGAACTAAATCGACTCAGCTCGTCGCACTGATCAAGAATATATATACTTTATGGGGTCTGCCACGCCTCCTTCTGCCTGTTAATTACATTTAACAAAACCATTATACCCTGATTTCCCAAGATATAAGAGCTAGATTTCAGAAGATATATGAGCAAGAAACTTCAAATTTTTTTTAAATGTCTGTATTTACAGCGCGGATGTATACATGAATGAATATACGTATGTCCACAAAAAAAGTTATTAATCAATTAAGTTCTCATAGTAAGCGCACACTGCAGCCCATGCGTGTTTATGCGTGGCTGCTTGTGTGTGTATGTGTTGTATGTGTATGTAAGCAGAAAAACGCAAAAGGATATCAGCAAAAGGATAAAGGATTCAGGGGATATCGTAGTCGAGCAGTCTTGACAAGAGCTTTCATACTTGTTATTAATTTGGTTCAGGGTAGTATCTAGTAGAGCACTCTCGACTAGAGTTTTCTTATTTTTATTGCGAAATTAACTAATTTATTTAGTTAAGTGCCAATTTGTGAAAGATTTGTAGACAGTATTACAGTACTAAATACTGACATGAAATGGCTCTAAAGTCAATTAATTGCGATTGAATAGTGCTTTGTTTTCAGCTTCTACTTCAGTATTGAATATGCAACTGGACTCCCAAGTCTATCAGTGAACTGATCGAAATCGAAATCGGAATTCTATAAAGTACATATGAATGTACATTTAAAATTTAGCGACTCTACCTTTAAAATAATAAATAAATAAAAAAAACAAGTATGAACGTTGCAGTCGGGCGTTACCGACTGCGGAGTACTCATTCACATCCCATCAACAATTTAGTAGTTAAGTTTTGCTCTAATACTGTAGAATATACAGGTTTTTCCGATTTGCCACGCCTCAACTGGGCGTAGACACCTAATTTTTGGTCAGTTTTTAGAACGAGATAACGGTACCCTAACTGCAAAGTTTGAATGCTTACTCTCAAAAAAAGTGAAAATTGCAGGGTATTTTTCGATATGCCCCTAAAGAGGCGTAAAAATTATTTCTGGGTCATCGATAGAGGAGGTTATTGGTAACTTAACTATCTAAATTTGAAGCTTCTAGCTATTATACTTAGGAGATATCAACTTTTACGGCTTGTCACGCCCCCTGTGGGCGGACATATATCCGACAAAACTTTTTGGTCTTGGGTGATCAGCCCGAGTATATATACAAAATTTGAGGTCTCTGGCATCAAGAGTGTCCAAAATATAGAAGAATTTAAAAAAAAACACTATATCTTCAGGTCCGATTTGCGACGCCCCTAATGGGCCTAGACTTATAAATTAAATCTTAAGACTTTATAGAATCATAATATTAGCTGACGTGCAAATTTTCAGCGCTCTAGCTGTAAAACTCTTGGAGATACAGCTTTATCCCATTTGCCACGCCCCCAATGGGCGGAGATATATCCGCCATAGCTAGTGATCTAGGGTGGTCGACGCGGACCTTCATACCAAATTTCAGCTTTCTGGCATATCGGAAAATGGATTTTCCCCCCTAGTGGGCAGATCGGATTTTAACACATTATAAATCGGAGATATACATGAGTATGCATTCCAAATTTCAAGTCTCTAGCTTCTATAACGTCGTAAAAAAAATTTCAAGTCTCTAGCTCTTATATCTTCTGAGATCGACGCGTTCAAACATACGGACAGATGGACAGACAGACGGACAGGGCCAAATCAACTCAGCTCGTCGCCCTGATCAAGATTATATATACTTTATGGGGTCTGCCACGCCTCCTTCTGCCTGTTACATACATTTAACAAAACCATTATACCCAGATTTCCCATTGAAAATGGGTTCAGGGTATAACAAAAAAAAATTTTTTAAATATACAGATAAAATACAAAAGAAAATCTAAATCTAAATAGAAAATAAATTTTAGATTTGAATGAATCCGTTCACTATTATGTATGCTATATGTAAATATATGATCTGTATAACCTGTATAAAAAAAAATATATTTTTTAAATATACAGATAAAATAGAAAAGAAAATCTAAATTTAAAAAGAAAATAAATTTTAGATTTGAATGAATCCGTTCACTATTATGTATGCTATATGTAAATATATGATCTGTATAACCATTATGGTACTCACCCGACCAGTGCACACATGATTGTTACTCGTTGTATCACATTCATCAATGGGTCGGCAAGAAGCTAATAACGGGTTTCATTCGAATGCAAATGATTGATTGATTGATTGCTACGCTTAGTGTAATGTATATAGACTAATCTTTAAATAAAGTTTAATAGTTATTAATTTTTTTATGGTTAAGTAGCAATAATTCTTTGACAATAAAAACTTATGATGTAAAATTATAACGAGAAAATGGGATGAATCACAAAACAAGAACGTTGTAGTCGGGCGTTACCGATAGGTGCAACTGATGTTAACTTTGTTAATTGTTTCAAAATATTTTTATATTTTGATAAATGAGTTTTCTATTTAATTGATATTTTTAAATACACCGAAATTGAAATTTTAACCATACTAAATGTGCGTTTTTAATTGTTTGGTTATTCTAGCAGATTCTTAGAATCACATCAGCAGTTAGTTTGGTTTAGTTTTGCCAGATGGCGCTGCAGCAGTGAACCTATTTCAGTTTTGCCAACGGACCTTCGAAAAGTGAGGTTGCGTAGTGTGTAGCGGCGTGACGCTCGATCGAGAGATCTCGGGTTCGAACTGAGAACGAGGAAATGATGTTAATTTTCTTTAATTGTTTCAAAATATTTATATATTTAATTAAATGAGTTTTCTATTTCAATATTTTTAAATACACAAAAATTGAAGTTTTAGTTATACTAAATGTGCATTTTTATTAGTTAGGTTCAGGTAGTATCAAATTAAAATGTTTCCCTGTGTGTAAACACTTTCTTGCCAAACTGTATGTATGTATTTGCGTATATGTATTTGAGGGCTATTTCAGAAAAAACGAATTTAAACTTATTAAATTATTCGATTAAGAAAAGGAAATGTATTAAGTGCCATTCATTCAAGCTCGCACCTTCCCAATAAATCTATAAAAAATCTACATAAATATCTATTTTATAAAAAACGAAATATGTATGAAAAAAATATCATCGAAGAGGTTTCGAACCCTCCCTACTCTAATATAAACTGCGCCACCTTTAGCACTCGCGCCACTGCTTTGCTTGATCAGCCAGTTGCTAAAAAAAAAAAATAATTTAATAGCAGAGTGTCTTCTGAAAAAAACTATAGTACCGGCTGAAAATCTGAAAATCAATCAAAATTCTAAGAATGTTCTAAAAGGCGCGCTTCTGTCTGTACGCATAGAATACGCGGTGAGTGTGTCCACATGTATAAGCAAATCGCGCTGATGTGCTGCTGGCTTGGAGCCTATATCCAATATATGGATATAAGTATATAATAAAAAGTAAGAAAACTCTAGTCGAGATGCTCGACTTGATACTACCCTGAACCAAACTAATAAAAATGCACATTTAGTATAACTAAAATTTCAATTTCGGTGTATTTAAAAATATTAT